AAAAAAAGGGCAGTGCCTGTGGCTCGAAGGAGTAAGGCACCAGCCTCATTTGCTGGAGGTGGTGGGTTCAAACCCAGCCCGGCCAAAAACCACAAAAACAAACAAACCCCCCCCCCCCAAGAATTGTAAGTCCAGATTGGTGTTATGAGTAAATTTGGAGATCTGATTCCAGACCTCATTGGGATAAGACCTGAAATCTCTCTCTTTTTTTTTTTTTTTTGCAACAGAGTTTCACTATGTCGCCCTAGGTAGAGTCCTGAGGCATCACAGCTCACAGCAACCTCCAACTCCTAGGCTTAAGCTATTCTCTTGCCTCAGCCTCACAAGTAGCTGGGACTACAGGTGCCAACCACAACGCCCAGCTATTTTTTGTTGCAGTTGTCATTGTTGTTTAGCTGGCCTGAGCCCGGGTTCGAACTCACCAACTTTAGTGTATGTGGCTGGTGCCATAACCACTGTGCTGAGTGCTAAGCCAAGACCTTTGAGCTTGAGGTTGGGGGCCAGACCTCCAGGGCCTAGCACAGTGCCTGGCACAAGGGAGTATTTGCTGACTAGAGGAGACAGATGACTGACTGGGTGACCACAATTTGAGGGACAGCAAGCAAGTAGAAGCAGAGAGGTTAGGGACTCACTGAAGGTCACACAGCTCATAGCAGAGCTGGCCTGAAATCACAAACCTCAGAATTCTCAGTCCAGGGATCTATCAGCTACAAAGGGATTAGCAGTCAAAATGGATCTGCCTTTTGAAGCAGTGAAGCAGAAATAAGAACAGAGCTGGGCCCCCCAGCCCACACTCCCTGGAGACTCAGGTGGCTATCTCCCAACTTCACCTCCCCCCTTATCCCTGTACCTGTGGCTGGGAAGGGAAATGTTGAGGGTGAAGGAGTGCTGGATGCTGGTCAACAAGGGAACTTTTTTTTTTAAGAGACAGATTCTCATTTTATTGCCCTTGGTAGAGTGCCATGGTGTCACAGTTCACAGCAACCTCCAGCTCTTGGGTTTAGGCGATTCTCTTGCCTCAGCCTCCTGCCACAACGCCCAGCTATTTTCTTGTTGCAGTTTGGCAGGGGCCGGGTTTGAACCCACCACCCTTGGTATATGGGGCCAGCGCCCTGCTCAGTGAGCCACAGGCGCCGCCCAACAAGGGAACTTTTGTTTACTTGAAATTTGCAGAGTAGATCTGTGTTCTCCCATATGTCCCCCAAGTCCCCATGTCCACACACACACACACACACAAAATGGTGATTATGGATATGCTAATTAATTTGATTATGGCAATAATTTCACAGCATATACTAGATATTAAATTATCACATTATATACCTTGAATATGTACAATTTGGGGGGGGAGTCAAATGTCCCTCCATAAAGCCAAAAAAGAAAAAGAGAGCTTATCAAAGTGACCTGTTTACAGAAGCAAGGAGACGAACTGAGTTTCAAGAGCTCTAGTTTGCCCAGTGGGTGGGAGCAGATGTTTAAGCTAAAGTTTTCTGAAGGAGCTGGATCCAGGTCTCCAGGGGAAAGTGCTTGGCATTCCTTGGTAAGAGCAAAAATGGTGGTCCCCAGGGCAGGAAGGCTGGTGGCTTCACAGCCCTTTGGGATTCTTGAGGTAAGGTCCCACTGGCACTTTAAGCCTGGCTGACAGGGTGAGGGCAGTGGCCCCCCAAACCCATCTGGACCCTAAGACTGCTCTCTAGCACCAGGGAGGAGGCAGGACAAGCCTCGTGCTGCCTGTGACCATTCCTCCAAGCACTGGCTCAGGAAGCAGTAGGCAATGGGGAGAGCCTGCCCCTGCCCCCCTCCCTAGGAATCAGTAGCACTGAGGAACAGAACGGGCAGGGGGGTGCTTAGCTCCCCAACCCAACTCTCCTCTCTATCCCAAGAAGTCCTTTGAAAGGTTTTCCTGGCAGAGTTTAAAGCTTCAATTCATTCAACTGCCTGGCATGACGCCCAGGATGAGGGGATGCTGGGAAGGCCCTAGCCTCACACCCCAACCCTTACCTTAGCTGCCCCTACTTTCCTGGGACCCCTGCTGGCAGGCCTCTCACTGGCCTCTCCATATCCAGTGGTACCCACCCCCTTTCCCCTTGTGAACTCAGGTATCCCGCCACTTTCCTGTGGAGCAGATGGCCATCCCAGGGGCTCAAGCTTGCTAAATCAGACACTTAAATCCCCTAATCCTTGGTGAGAGGCTGGTGAGGGTGCAGTAGCCCAACCCTAGAAAAGCAGGGGAGGGAGGGAACCTTGTGCCAGCCCTGGCAGGAGGGGAGGAGGGACAGTTGGTTCCCAAGTTGTGAATGGAGTCCCCCCCCATCCCTAGTTGTCATGCATCCCACAGACTGACCCAGTCTCCAGCCTTTGTTCCCCTCCCGGAACCTGGGCATTGGGCCCCCCAGCCCACACTCCCTGGAGATGCAGGTGGCTATCTCCCAACTTCACCTCCCCACTCACCCCTGCACCTGTGGCCTACAGCCCACACTGGCACGCATCCCTCAGACACACAGGTGGTAGCAAAGTTTTATTGTAAAATAAGAAATTGATATAAAAAAAGGGATATAAAAAGGGGTAAGAGGGGTAGGAGTGAAAACTTCAGATGTGCCTTGCAGAATGCAAAAGAAATTGACCCTGAGCATTTAGGGGAAGGAATAAACAGGTCTTAGTGGATCTAGATCCTACACAAAAGATGGAATCCTCCACAGTGTGGGATGGGGTAAGACTTCTTTTTAGGTGCCAAGGTTCACCAAGGGGTTGGACAGGCTTTGGCTGAGTTTAAAGTCTTGGCAGAGACTTTGATACTCAGCTTGTTGAACAGCTGCCCAATCACAATAACTCCTAACCCACACCAACAGGGACTTGTAACAAGCACCCCAGGATGGGGTGAAGTCCCAGACTTCATGTAATAAAAGGTGGTTTTCAAGGCCAGACACACTATCTCATTAATCCTCACAACTAACTCTGTGAGGTAGCTACAATTACCAGCATTTCATAGACATGGACATTGAAGCTCAGAGAAATTAAACAACTTGAAATGGCTTCCCTGGTTAGTACAGTGGAGAACTGGGCTTCCAACCCAATGTATGGCTGACTGTAAAATCTAACCCTTAAACTCAAGAACATTTCCTTACCTCTTCCAAATATTCCTCATAGTAAAAACCTTACCATTCCACCCCAAAATACCAGTGTAGGCCAATTTCCTCAGCAGAGCCCCAGGCCAAGGCTGATAGACAAATTCCTGGGTGTTTCTGAGGCACACCTATAGCAAAAACCAGGGATTGTAATACCTGAGTCCCAAAATGGCAGGGAAGGGGGGTATGGGTAGGGGGTTGTCAATGGGGGACAAGAAGCAGAGGGCATCAGTCGGAGTCAGGTCCCTCTCTCTTGAACATTAATTTTTTATGACGGGAGGTAGATTGCTCCTTCTTGGACTTCGGTTGGCTGTGAAAGACAGAGGAGGGGAGGCGGAGAGATGACATCTTTTGAGTGAGAAGGTCTGGGATGCTTCTCATTGATCAAAACTTTGAAGGGCCTAAGGCTAAAACAAGGGGAATTTTTTTTTTTTTTTGAGACGGAGCCTCAAGCTATCCCCCTGGGTAGAGCACCATGGCATCACACTCACAGCAACCTCCAACTCCTGGGCTCAAGCGAGTCTCCTGCCTCAGCCTCCCAAGTAGCTGGGACTACAGGCGCCCACCACAACGCCTGGCCATTTTTTGGTTGCAGCCATTATTGTTGTTTGGTGGGCCCGGGCTGGGATTCGAACCCGCCACCTTAGGTGTATGTGGCTGGCGCCTTAGCCGCTTGAGCCACAGGCGCTGAGCCAAACAAGGGGAATTTAAGTTAAGATGGTTGTGTTGTCTTCATATGCACAGGCTTACTGAGCCCCTTGGGGTATTTTAGTGTATTAATCTCTTAATCTTCTCTTATTCCTTTTTTTTTTTAAGATAGAGTTTTTGTTGCCCTCAGTAGAGTGCTGTGACATCACAGCTTACAGCAACCTTAAATTCTTGGGCTTAAGCGATTCTCTTGCCTCAGTCTCCCAAGTAGCTGGGACTATAAGCACTGCCATAACATCCGGCTACTTTCTTGTTGCAGTTGTCATTGTTGTTTAGCTGGCCTGGACTGGGCTCAAACCTGCTAACCTTGGTGCATGTGGCTGGCACTGTAGCCTATTTTTTTTTTTTTAGAGACAGGGTCTTGCTCTGGCTCAGGCTGGTCTTGAACTCATGAGCTCAGGCAATCTACCCTCGTTGGCCTCCCAAGTGCTGGAATTACAGGCATCAGCCACCTTGCCCAGCCTCCTTACTCTTTTATTTTTTATTTTTTTGCAGTTTTGGCCAGGGCCAGGCTTGAACCCACCACTCCTGGTATATGAGGCCAGTGCCCTACTCCTTGAGCCACAGGCGCCGCCCTCCTTACTCTATTTTGTAAGTGAGGAAACTGAGTCTGACAGGAGAAGTCACGAGGTTACCCAGGACCTGCTAGTACATGGCAGGGCTGAGTATCTGACCCCAAACCCAGGCTCTGTTCAATACTAACATATAGTTATCAGGCCCCTCCTTGTGTCTCCCAGCCACTGTGAATAGCAGAGAAGTATTCACACTTATCCCGGGGTTTAGAGGTTTATGGATCCCCTGAGGCAGCAAAGTGGTTGTATCATACAATTGGAGTTAGATTAAAAAAATGATTGCACAGGGCACCAACCCAGCAGGATGGGATCAGCTGTCTTTTACCACAGAGGCAGGATTAGAATGGAATCCTATGGCTTTCCAACACAGGAAGGCAGGAGAGTAGGGCTGGGAGGGGGCCCAGGTCACTTACCTGGAATGAGCCCTGTTCCCATCTGACTCCTTCTCAGCCTGGGCATCCTTGATTTCCAGGGCCTCATTCAGCTCTCGGAACATTTCATAACGTTCACGCCCGCGAATCTGCAGCAGAGGAGGAAAGGGATAAAAAACTATAGATATTCTTTGGCTTAAGGTGGTCCAATTCATGTTTTTGGTCTGGTGTGGTGGTTCATGCCTATAATCCTAGCACTCTGGGTGGCTGAAGTGAGTAGGTTGCCTGAGCTCAAGAGTTGGAGATCAGCCTAAGCAAGAGCAAGAGCTCGTCTTTAAAAAAATCAGTGGGGCATTGTTGGGAGGGCAGTGCCTGTACTCCTAGCTACTCGTGAGGGTGAGGCAAGAGAATCATTTGAGCCCAAGAGTCTGAGGTTGCTCTGAGCTATGACGCATGGCATTCAACCCCAGGGTGACTGGATGAGACTGCCTAAAAAAAAAAAGGGGGGGTGGCGGCTCCAGTGGCTCAAAGGAGTAGGGCATTGGCCCCATATACAGGAGGTGACAGATTCAAACCCAGCCCCCACCAAAAACTGAAAAAAAAAAGATATGGGTGGTGCCTGTGGTTCAGTGAGTAGGGCGCTGGCCCCATATACCAAGGGTGGCAGGTTCAAAACTGGCCACTGCCAAACTGCAATGAAAAATCGCCAGGCGTTGTGGCAGGCACCTGTGGTCCCAGCTACTCTGGAGGCTGAGGAAAGAGAATCACCTAAGCCCAAGAGTTGGAGGTTGCTGTGAGCTGTGATGCCACAGCATTCTACCTAGGGCAACAACAACAACAACAAAAAAAAGATGGTTCAATGTATGTTTTTTTTTTTTGCAGTTTTTGGCTGGGTCCAGGTTCGAACTCACCACCTCTGGTATATGGGGTTGGTGCCCCACTCCTTTAGCCACAAGTGCCCCCCAGTGTATATGTTTTTAACCTTACAATGATACGAATGCAAGTCATACTTAGTAGAAACTATACTTTGAATTTTCACATGATCAAATTTTTTACTTTCAGTATACTATTTACTGAATTACATGAGATATTCAACACTTTAATATAAAACAGGCTTTGTGATTTTGCCCAACCATAGGCTAATGCAAGTGTTCGAGTACATTTAAGGTGGGCTAGGTTAAGCTATGTTTGGTAGTTTAGGTGATTAAATGCATTTTCAACTTACAGTATTTTCAACTTATGATGAATTGTTTTTTTTTTTCTTTTTGAGACAGAGTCTCACTGTGTTGCCCTCAGTAGAGTGCCGTAGCATCACAGCTCACAGCAACCTCAAACTCTTGGGCTTAAGTGATTCTCTTGCCTTAGCCTCCCAAGTAGCTGGGACCGTAGGTGCCTGCCACAATGCCTGGCTATTTCTTGGTTGCAGTTGTCATTGTTGTTTGGCAGGGCCAGGCTGGTTTGAATCGCCAGCTCCCATGTATGTGGCTGGTGCCCTAGCCACTGAGCTACAGGTGCCGATCCAACTTATGATGAATTTATCAGGAAGTAACACCATATCAAGAAGCATCTGTATTGGATAAAGTCATAGAACCATTTTCATATTCTCTTTAACAATTTTCTTTCTGAAAGGTCATCTTTTAACATGTATAACATATATTACTGTACAAGTCAGTGTTCTGAAGTTTGGTACAACCAGGAGCCATTGTCTCTGAGTCACCACTGCCCCCTAATGGCAAATGCTTTAATTGTAGGCAAAGCATTTTGAGTGACAGTCTTGAAACTTTTATTTTCTTTTTAAGACAGAGTCTCACTATGTGCCCTACTGTCACAGCTCACAGCAACCTCAAAGTCTTGTGTTCAGGCAATTCTCAGCCTCCCAAGTAGCTGGGATTACTGGTGCCCGCCACAATGCCTGCCTATTTTTCTGAGGTAGTAGTCACTGTTGCATGGCAGGCCCTGGTGGGGTTTGAACCTGCTGGCCCCAGTGTATGTGGCTGGTGCCCTAGTGGCTGAGCTATAGGTACTGAACCTTTTTTTGTTTGTTTTTAGGTGCCTGTCATAATGATGCCTGGCTATATATATATATATATATTTTTTGTTTTGTTATTGTTGCAGTTGTCAATGGTTGTTTAGCTGGCTCAGGCTGGGTTTGAATCTGCTTGCCTCAGTGAAATGTGGCAGGCGCCATAACCACTGAGTATGGGTGCCGAGCCTAGACTTGAAACTTTCAACCTGATAATATTAATTTTATAAGAGCCAGGGCCATGAATAGAGGAAAGAATGGATACAGAAACTGGGCCTAACCTCATATTCCCTATGGTTATATCTTTTCTTCCCTTATCCAGCCCCTCTTAGTATATGCAAGAAACTGTGCATCTGTCTCTCCCAAACTTAGTACCTTGAGGGTAAAATATTCTCCTTCCAGCAGTTTCTTCTTTGGCTGTGGAGAGGAGCTGGTACTGGTGGGCAGTGCTGGAAACGAGACAAGGAAAGGTGAGAAAAGAACAAATCTGGGCAGAGAACCTTTTGCCTCCTTCACCTCTTCTTGCCCTGCATGCTTACATCGCTTGGTGCTCCCAAGGGATGGCTCAGAACAAGTCTCCCCTTTCTTGCGGGAATTTTCTTCCTCTGTGCGGCGGTCTCTCCCAGGACAGGCACAAACACGCACCTCAAAGCTGTTCCGTCCCAGCAGGTTACCACTACCAAGCGTAAGAGAGAAGCAGGAGGCAGTAAGGAAATTGGGTTCTACCTACCATATTTTACAATCTAGGCCCACCTATACCCAATTGCCTTTGTCCTAACTGGATCCTAAGCTCCAGCTCTAGGTAGACAAAAGAGAAGCTACAGGTAAGAGACAGAACCCAAAGCCAGAGAAAAGAAAACCAAAAGAGAGCAAGAGAGATGTCCTGTGTGGGGTTGGGGGGAGGCATGAAGGGAAGTGGTATAGGGCAGGCCCAGAGGTATAGCCTCTGGGCAGGTGCAGAGATGAGCAGAGGCTGGGGTGTAAAGGGTGGCATGTGGCTCCTTACCTAGAGTCTTCCAGTGTGATGATGGTGAGGATGGGTCGACGGTTCATGCCCCCCATGCAGGAACTGTTACACATGTAGTTGTAGTGGATGGTGGTACAGTCAGAGCCGACCTAGGAGAGAACAGAGGCCCAGGGTGAGGCCAACCAGCACCCAGAGAGACCTGTGGCAACCTGGGGAGTCCTAACCTTTCTAAGCTTCCATTTCTTTTTCTTTTTTTATTGCAGTTTTTGGCCTGGGTGGGTTTGAACCCACCACCTCTGGCATATGGGGCCAGCGCCCTACTCCTTTGAGCCACAGGCGCTGCCCCTAAGCTTCCATTTCTTAAACTGTGCAATGGTTTACCCTAACTCACCTGCTCTGCATACCTCATAGGGTTGTGGCACGGTTGAATAAGAGGCAGGAGAAAGCCCTCCTACCTCCCACCTGGGTAGTCACTGACAACTCCCCCCACCCTCTGCCTCCCTCCATACCCAGCTGCCAAATCAGACCTCAGGAGGTTCATAGGGCACCACCACACTGTGTCGAAAAGTGTTTTTATCATCCAAATACTCCACACGCAAATTTCCTTCCACCCGGATGAGATGCTGAGGAGGGGCCAGACCTAAGAGCAACCAAGGAGGAATAAGAGGCCAAGGAGCCTGGATAGCCAGTTCCGTCCCTTCTCCAGCTTCCAGTCACTCACCATCACTTTCTGAGCAGCGCTCATGGTGGGGGCAGCGCCTCACCACTTCTGTCATGTGTTGTGATTGCTTATAGATGGCCATGGCACGGATGCGACTGCCTGGTGGGGGTGTGGAGTCGAACCACAGCTGTACAGGGCAGGTCTTCGCCAGCTGGCAAAACATCTTGTTCAGGACAGGAGAATACTATAGGGAAAGGAAGGAGAAAGAATGGAAAGTCAGGGAACAAGTGAACAAGTAAAGGGGGGGAGGGTACCAAGGAAATAAACGCTGCTTAAGCAACCGCCAGAAGCCATGCACTATGTGGGGAGGACAGCTATAGACAGCAGGATTGGGGTGTGCCTCAGAAGTTTCTTTTCTTTTCTTTTCTTTTTTTTTGAGACAGAGCCTCAAGCTGTCCCCCTGGGTAGAGTGCTCTGGCATCACAGCTCAGAGCAACCTCTAACTCCTGGGCTCAAGCGAGTCTCCTGCCTCTGCCTCCCAAGTAGCTGGGACTACAGGTGCCTGCCACAACGCCTGGCTATTTTTTGGTTGCAGCCATCATTGTTGTTTGGCAGGCCTGGGCTGGATTTGAACCTGCCACCTTACATGTATGTGACTGGCGCCTTAGCCACTTGAGGCACAGCCGCCGAGCCAGAAGCTTCTTTTCAAAAGCCAAAGAATGAATGTGAGTGAAGAAAAAGGAAGATCATTTCCATATCCCCATGCAATGCTAAGTGATAGGAAAGGGCCACAGTGAGGGGGCTCACATTCATAATCCCAGCACTCTGAGAAGCCAAGGCAGAAAAGGATTGCTTGAACTCAGGAGTTCAAGACCAACCTGAGCAAGAGTGAGACCTCATCTCTACTAAAATTAGAAAAATTAGCTAAGCATTGTGGTGATTAGCTAGGCATTGTGGTGATTAGCTAGGCATTGTGGTGGTGCCTGTAGTCCCAGATACTCGGGAAGCTAAGGCAGGATGATTGTTTGAACCCAGAAGTTTGATGTGAGCTAGGCTGATGCCACAGCACTCTAGCCAGGGCAACACAGAAAGATTCTGTCTAAAAAACCAAAAGTGTGGTGGTACCCATAGCTCAGTGGGTAGGATGCCAGCTTCATACATCAAGGTTGGTGGGTTCGAACTGGCCCAGGCCAGCTAAAACAACAGTGACAACTGCAACAACGAAAAAATAGCTGGGCATTGTGGTGGGTGCCTGTAGTCTGAGCTACTTGAGAGGCTGAGGCAAGAGAACCGCTTCAGCCCAAGAGTTTGAGGTTTGAGGTGCTGTGAACTGTGACACCACAGCACTCTACCCTAGGGCAACAGCTTGAGACTGTCTCAAAAACAAAAGAAAACAAAAAAACCCACCTAAAACAAATCAAGAGTGTGATGATGGGAAGGATGAAAGCTTGAGGTCAAGGGGGAAAATTCAACTTTGTGGCAGAGGCCACAGGTCACAGATGAAATGGGTAAAATGCTTGCTAAGAAGCTGAAGGCTACCATGAAGGCTATGTTAACCAGTTTGGTGAAAATATTTCAAATTGTATACAAAACCAGCACACTGCATTAATGTACACAGCTATGATTTAATTAAAAAAAAAAAAAGCTGAAGGATGAAGAATTCCAAAGTTCTAAACAGAAAAATGCTAGGGGATATGGTCAAAGGCAGCCTCTGGGGCCACTGACCGTGCAGGTGACAGACTTGGCTGTGCCAGAATTCAAGAAGCCGAGGCGGAAACCGTAGCTGCCAGGGTAAGTTGTCTGAGAAGGGACACAGGATGACAGAGGCCAGCCGGTGACTGGTGCAGAGGCTGCTGGTGTAAGGGCAGCTGTTGTGGAAGCCACTGGTGCAGGATCCTCTAACGTTCTGAGCGCTTCATCTGGACCTTCATCAAACCAGTTTACAATGTCTGGGGACAGCATCAGATCATCCACTGGTGGGGACAGTGAGGAGGACTGTGGTGGCAAAACAAGAGTCAGAGGACCAAGTCCCCAGCCCAGTAGCCTGCCAACCAACCCCTGGTCTCTGCCCACCCTTAGTCCTTACCAGAACATTGTTTTCAGGAAGTCTGAAAGACAAAAGTAGAAAGTCAGTACCATTGTTTTTTTTTTT